CACACACACACACACACACACACACACACACACAATGGAACTTCTTGGCTTCCTGAAGGACAAAGGATGGGAGAGCAGGCTTCAGCATCCATGGTAACCCACTCCTCCTTGTCTCTCTTCCAGAGCCCCTAAAGACCCCCAGCAGGCCTCTACTGGGCTCCGTGACTGTAGTTAGGTGGGCCCCTGTTGACCCAATCCCCATAGCGAAGGGAGGGGCACAGCCTGTGGGGCCCCCACCTCTGCCCCCTTCTCCCCCATGTGCAGAGAACATCCTGACACACGAACAACGCTGTGCAGCTGTGGTCAGCGCCGGCTTTGACCGCCTGGTGGACGAGACCTCGCCGTACTGGGCCTGTAAGGGGACTGTGGCTGCAGTCATCTTGGAGAGAGGTAGGGTTTGCCCTGCCTGCCCCCACCTCAGAAGGCCCCCATGGGCCCCTCGCCTTAGGGCAGGCTTCTCTGTCTTCTCCCCTCGCAGAGGTCCCAGATGCCAGGGGCCACACCAAGGAGATCTACCAGCTGGTGGCACTGGGCACAGGCAGCAGCAGCTGCTCTGGCTGGCTGGAATTCTCGGGCCGGCAGCTTCACGACTGCCACGGTCTGGTCATCGCTCGCCGGGCCCTGCTGAGGTGAAGGGTGGGTGGGGTGGATGCTCTGTGGCAGCCCTGGGCAGGACGTGGCATCGCCCAGCTGCTCCTCTGCCTGTCTCTCCCAGATTTTTGTTCCGGCAGCTCTTGCTGGCGACACAGGGCGGACCCAAGGGCAGGGAACGGTCTGTGCTGGCCCCCCAGCCAGGACCCGGGCCCCCCTTTGCCCTCAAGCCCCGGATCTTCTTACACCTCTACATCAGCAACACCCCCAAGGGAGCTGCCCACGACATCTAGTATGTGGGGAGCTCCCATGGAGTCCCTTGGTGTGGCCGGATTGGGAAGGGCAGTGTCGTGCGGGGTCAGAAGATTGGCCTTGTCTCTCGCATCCAACGTCCTATCCTCCCCACCCTTGCAGCCTCCCGCAGTCCCCTGAGGGCAGTGGCAGCCTCCTGCACAGCACCCCCTTCCGCCTGCAGGCCCACATCCGAGGGGAGCTGAAGCCTGTGTGTTACTTGGCACCCATACTCCGGGACACCCATGTGGGCTGCCTCTCGGCCAGTGACAAGCTGGCACGCTGGGCCGTGCTGGGACTGGGCAGCGCCCTGCTGGCACACTTCTTGCCTCCCCTCTATGCCACCAGCCTTGTCCTGGGTGAGGACCCCGAGAGGCATGAGGGTGGCAGGTGGGCTCAGGGTGGTGTTTGGGAGAGGGTGGTGGTGACTCAGACCATGACTTGTGCCTTCTGCTCCACAGCCGACCCCTGCCACGACCCCCCAACTTTAAGCAGTGCCATCCACACCCGGCCCACCCTAGATATGGGATCATGCCTGCCACCTCCCTATACCCGTAACAAACTGCACCTGTTTTCGGGGCCCCCGATGGCCACCTCTGACCCCACCCCCAACACCTGCCATGACCTGAGCCTCAACTGGAGTTTGGGGGACCCTGATGTCGAGGTTGTGGATGTGACCACCGGGCGTGTGAAGGCTGAGTAAGAAGGGCCCGTGGATGGGCTAGAGAAGGGGCTCGGAGGTGGGGGGTCCCCATCTCCCTGCCCATGGGATAAGAGTGTGCATCTAGTTACCAGCTTGGATTCTAATCCCAGCTCAGTCTCTTACAACTCTGACCATGGCCAGCACTTTTATCACCCACGCGGTGACAACCCATGACACCCCAAGATTGTCATGGCGTGAAAGGAGATGGTGTAAGAGGTGTGGTGTGGATCTTTCAGTTTAGCTAAACTTTTCCCTCCTCTGATCTTCATGTCCTTTCCTCTCCATCTCTAGTGCTGCCCTGGGGCCTCCCTCCCGCCTCTGTAAGGCAGCCTTTCTCCGGGCCTTCCGCCAAGCTGCCCAAGCTCTTGGGAAACCCCACCTCCTGGCCTTGAAGACCTACGAGGAGGCCAAGGTCAGCTCCTTCCCTCCCCTCCAAACCTCTTGCTCCTGCACCCCCAGCAAGCACCCTCCCTTCACTCCCTCTCATCTCCTGCCCTAGGCTGGGCCCTACCAGGAGGCTCGCCAGCAGCTGTCCGTCCTCCTGGACCAGCAGGGCCTGGGGGCTTGGCCCTCGAAGCCATTGGTAGGCAAATTCCGAAACTGAAACAGACCTCTAGGAGCTTGAAGCCCTGAGCTGAGCTGGATGCTGCTGGAGGAGTGTTCCTGGTGAGGGGCGGGGGACCGTTGGGGGACAATGGGGGCTACACAGGGTGAAGTTGGAATGAAGGAGAGGCCTGATGTAGAGGGGTGGGCGTTGCTACAGATTTGGGTTTGAATAAAGAAACTGTTTCTGGTTCTATATGTTGTGGGCTGTTTGAAGGGGAGGGGTACCCTGGAGCCCTTTAGTTTCTAGAAAAGGCCCTGCCATGGCAGGGCTCTCCCTGCCTTCCAGCCTGCGTGCTCCAGGGGAGGCTGAGGCTGTGTCATGTTGGGGCCAGGCTGTGGGCAGCGGGTGTGGGAGCATTTTCTCTTCCCGTGTCATGGAGGCTTCAGCCTCTCTTCCTTTCCCAGGGCTCGACCTGGGACGAGTGGTAGAAAAGGGCGGTGCCTGCTCTTGGGTCCCCCCCCCCACCCCGCTGAGCAAGCTCCGTGGGTCTGAGCATGTTGAAGGGTGCCTGCAGGTGTGGGCGCCGTTAGTCCCCAGTCAGGAGGGGAGGAGAGGCAGGGCCCTGGGCAGACAGCAGCTCCAGCCTCTGCTCTAAGGGCCTTTGGGTTTCTGCAAGTGGCTAGGGCCTGGAGCCCTGTAGGTATACTGGGGTGAATAGTGTTCCCCAAATTCACGTTCACTTGGAGCCTGTAGAAATGACCTTACTTAGAAATAAGGTCTTTGAGGTGGCTGGTTAGCTCAGTTGGTTAGGGCGCAGTGCTCATAACACCAAGGTTGCCGGTTCGATCCCCACATGGGACACTGAGATGCGCCCTCCACAACTAGATTGAAACAACTACTTGACTTGGAGCTGATGGGTCCTAGAAAAACACACTGTTCCCCAATTTAAAAAAAAACACAGCAAAAAAGACTTTGCAGATGTAATCAAGTTAAGATGAGGTGGGCCCTGAATCCAATAACTGGGGTCCTTAGAAGAGAAGGTACTCAGGTTGATACACACAGGAGAGGAGGCCGTGTGAAGATGGAGGCAGAGATTGGAGTGATGCTGCTACAAGCCAAGGAAGGCCTGTAGCCACCGGGAGCTGGGAGAGAGGCATGGACTGGTTTATTTCCCTCTCCAGAGGGAACCAGCCCTGCCAGCACCTTGATTTTCAGACTTCCAGCCTCCAGAGCTGTGAGAGAATAAATGGCTGTTATTTGATGGCTCCCAGTTTGTGGTACCTTGTGTGGAAACCCTGGGAAGCTAAGCCTCCCAACAACTCTGCATGACAGATGCATTTTACAGGTGAGGAAACTCACAAGGTTGGATCCAGAGGAGCACATGGGGCCAAGGTGGGGTTGCGGTTTTGATGCAGGCACCGACTTCTGAGCCCTCAATCCTGTCACTGCCTTGGCCACTGCTGGATTTACTTCTGTGACCTTGAACAAAACTCCCAACCTCTTTTATAAACAGAATTGGATGATCTGTTTCCTAAAGTTCCCTCCTAGCTTTGATGTTCTCACCTCTGCTCTTTCCTAATGGCCACCAGAGGTGGGAGATGCAATCTTTGCCCTTCAGAGAGAGAGAGCTGCAGGCTGGCATGCTTGAAAGTGGCTGGTGGGCAGACAGGAGAGGGGAGTCCAGGCAGGAGGCATAAGACAGGTTTTCAGGAATGTGCATGAGTGAAGGACGGCGAGGAAGATCAGAGGGAGGGAAGCTTCACCCAGCAGGGAGGGTCTCAAAGCCAGGTAAACACTGATTATTTTTATTATTATATTTTTTTGGTATAACTGAGGAAACAGTTATTTACCGTTAGTTTGTTGTTGTTTTTTTTAACTTCTAAGGCCAACATTGAATTGATGATTTTTTTGTGGTTATTTTTTTTCAAGGACGGAGAGGATTTTTAAAACACCCAACCAAGCCTATTAATTAGCCCATTTATTACACATTGTTTTCTTTAGGAGACAGTTTAAATTGATTTACTTTTTTTGTGCTGCAATGATGACTACAACCAAATCTAGAAATATAGTAAGCATTCAAACTACAGTTTTATGCAATGAGCCTTTTGATATTCATTAATCACATAATCACTGGGTAAACAAGTTATTCAAAATGACATTAATTCTGCTGTGTTCTGCCAAGTAAGTAATATTTGTCCCCATGTGGCATAAATCTGCCTGTCCAATCCCTTCCTCCCAAGACAGTCCTCATTACACTATATTCGTTCAGTTCCCTTGACTCAGCTTATTTATTATTGCAGAATGGTGATGAACACTGCTTTTGAAATGGAGAGCCTATTAATGTCTTCTTGGCCTAATCCTCTCTGGGTGAAATTTTGCCAACACCCACATATTTGAATCAGGAGGTGATGTAATCTAGCCGGGCACAACTCAAATGCTGCTTCCTCTAGGACGCCTTTGCAATCATTCCCCTGCTCTGTGCCCTGCAGCTCTGAGCTCCGGGGGTCTTTCATAGACCCTGGACACCCTGCACCCCCCCCCCGGCCCCCGCACCATGCTGTCCCTCTGCTGGTGTAGTCTTCACCACTGAGTGGAAGTGTGAACTTAGGAGCCCAAGGGACCACTCCACCTTTCCAAGCCTCAGTGTTCCCATCTGGCAAATGTGAGTTAGTCACAAATGCATAGCCCGCAGGGTTATGGTGAGCTAAACTGGGAGCTGGGCCGAGCAAAGTTCCTGGCACTTGGCAGTCCTTAGGCAGTGGCTATCATCAGTCCTGTCAGCGCTCCGCTCCACAGGTAGACCAGTTGTTCGTTTCTCTCCATCTTCTCCTATGGGTCACCCATATAGAAGATGCCCGATAGACAAGCATTGAATGGAAGATTAATGACTTATGGGACCTCCTCTTTATAGGACTGGGTTAGAGAAAGAAAATAGTAACCCTATTCTAAAATAGGGTTTTAGAAGACATTTAGAAAATTTCCATCTTATCATGGCTCTTTTTTCCTCTGCCCTGTAGAAGCAATCAGTAAGACCTAGAGAAAAGTTAAAGCCTAGAGAAAGAGGGTCTTCTCTATAAATTGTCATTCTGCTCCCTGCTTTAGCGGTGAAATGACAGTTTAAAAAAACATTGGGTAGGCCTGCTGAGTGGCGCGATGGTTAAGAACTGGCTTGGGACGCCAGAGGGCCCCGGTTCGGATCCCACATATGAGGGCCAGTGACACTGCCCTCTACAGCTAAGATGCTGAGCAACAGCTCAACCTGGAGCTGGGCTGCCGTGAGTTGCCGGCGACGGCATAGGCTGCAGCCCCTGTGGCAGTGGGTTGCCATGGGCTACCATGTGTAGCCAGCAGCCAGCGTGAGTGGCCAGCAGCCGCAGTGAGCGGCCGTCCAGAAGCCGGCGACTGATCTGCCTCGCCCGGGAAGAACGCAATGATGGTGTCAACTTGGGCCAGTGAAGCAACGTCCTCCACAACTAGACTGAAGAACAAAAACGACAGGAACTTGTCTGTCCCCTTCCCCCAATTCCCCAGCACTGTTCCCATTCCCCCAATTCCCCCAATAAAAAAAATCTTAAAAAAAAAAACCACATTGGGTACATGCTAAGATGCTGTGACAAAGAAAGCCACATGCTCTGACTTTCATCAGAATTTATTCCCGACTGTCCACCATCCTCACCTTGAGACAAGGTGGCTGGTCTCCTCTGGAAGAACATGACCCAGAGATTCCTCATGTCACTCTGCTCACATGGCCTGTGATCCAAACTTAGTCACACACCACACCTAGCTGCAGCGGTGGCTGGGAAATGGGAATCTAGCTACAACCTGGGTGGGTTTCATTATTAAAAGGACGTAGGTAAGAATGGCATTGGCGGCTGTTAGTGGTCTTTCCCACATGAAGCTGGGAAGGACTGACAGGCTCTACCCCATGAGGGAGGACCAGAAACTGCAGGGAGTATCACACAGCCAGGAGGGGAGCACAGGTAGACTCTACACAGGCTGCCACGTTAGGGAGCCCTGCCCTCTGTCCCCCACAGGTCCCTGACCTCACCTCTTTCACCACTCCATCATTTCCTCTACTCTAGACATGGTGACCCCCATGCTGTCCTTTGAAAGACCAAACACATTCCTGACTCAGGACCTTTGCACCTGCTGTTTCTTCTTTCCCAAAATGTCGTTTCCATAAATCTGCATATCTTGGTCCCTTCACTCTTTCAGGATTTGCTCAAATGTCACGGTCCAGAAAGGACTTCCAGGTCACCCTTTACAAAACTGTAACTCCTCACTCTGGCAATCCCACTCCTACCCTGCTTTACGCCTTGTCTGTTTTGTTCCCTGTTGAACCTCCAGTGCCTGGAACAGTGTCTGGCACAGTAAAGACTTGTTGACAAATGAATGAACAATAAATTTGGAAAAAAACATCCGCATGCCCTGCTGTCACTGCAGGGGCCTGGCAGCTCAGTGGGTCACATCGTGGACACCCCAGCCCCTTTCCTCAGCCTCACCCACACCCAGCATCCTCCTGTGACATCCTGGATTCATCTTTCCGCCTTATCTTAGTGTTATCCCAGGGTGAGCCTGGAGTTGATTAATTTTCTTTCTAAAGATCCCACTGTCTTTAGCTCAGATGCAGGGATTAACTAAATGGGATCATTTGTGTATGTATCCGGGATATTTAAGGGGGAGACAGGGAGGCCTAACCTCCTTGTGGACAAGACTGCGTCAGCCTCATGGCTCACCATCTTGTTCTGCGTACTGACATGGTACCTGGCACACAGGTGGCACTTGCTGAGATGAGGGGAAAGGAACCTTTCTGGGGAGAAAGGAGAGCTCACATTGGCAGTCCATCTGCTGCATGCCAGGCCCTGTCACTGAAGCTAGAAATGGGCCGACGGTGGAGGCTGGTGACTTTTAGACACATTTATAGGACTGAACAGCTGTCTCAGGTCATCATGAAAAGGAAGTATTTCACTGCCTAGAGTAGGTGTCGGTTGAGAAGACATCACATGTGGCCATTGGCCCTCCTCTGGGTGAGGTGGTAATGGGTTTGCATGCACATTTTCCCCACAGAGATTGCCTGTTGCACTTTGGGTGCAGATTCTTGCTCCCAGAGTGGCAAATCACCAGAGCCAGCCAAGGCAACAGGAGAGCCAGGCCTTCTCACCCCGCCAGGACCAGCGGCCAGGGGCTGTCTGGCTCAAGGATGCCTTTGGAAACTTCTACAGTCAACAAACACTTTGTCCATGGGGTTCAGGGTGGAAGGGTGGACCAACCGCTGTGACACACAACGCTCCAGTTTCAGTGGCTTTCTGGTGCAACCCATCAAGTGATGCCAGTGATCAGCACGCAGGAGTTTGGGGATGCAGCCGCTTCCATCTTTTGGCTCCATCGCCCTTAGGGCAGGGCTGGCAAACTTTCTCTGCAAAGGGCCAGAGTAAATATCTCTGTTGCCTGACTCGGCTCTGCCATTGTAGCCCAAAATCTCCGTAGACAATACTTGAGTGAATGGGCCTGGCTGTGTTTCAATAAAACTTTGTTTGCAATAACAGTCAGGGGGAGGTATAGTTCACTGACTCCCGTTTTAGGACTTTGAGTATTTCTTGAATCTGCATGGGGACTTGCAGGGTAGCGGATGGGAGGGAGAGTGTAGAGGATCATGTAGGGGGTGTTTGCAACCGGCCCACAGTGGCGCGTCCCCCTTCCACCACATTCCACTGACCGGAACTCTGGCCCTGCCTCCCTTACCTGCTGGGAGGCTGGAAATGTGAAACAGGAACCGGATATTGGCAAATCCATTTCAATCTCAGAAGCCTATTTAAATTTGGCACCCCTGTGCCCCCCGGGTATGATTACTCCCATCACCACCCCGTCTTCTTCCTTGCTAGGACTTGCCACAAGCTCTGCTTGTCCTGTTGATTTCCTTCTTGACTTATCTGTGGTCTGCCTTTCTACCTCCCCTCCACCCAGGCCCACACAAGCATCTATCTTGCTAACTACTGTGTCCACTGAGCTGGAACGACATCTAGCAGATGGCAGACACTTAAAAAATACTGCACCAGAACCCACCTAATTTCTGACTTGGCAGTGGACCTGGGATAGGTGACCCATGACTCCTCCCACCCCTCACTTGGGGGACCCTCCCACCTCCTCCCACATCCCAAGGTCAACCCCAGCAGCCCTGACACTAGACATGCCCCAATACACCAGAGAAGCCACAACATCATGTCTTAACATTGTTTAATGTTCCTCTGGAAGTTGGGGGACAACGGGGGTAGCCCCAAGAGCTTAGGAAGGTGCCAGGTGAAACTGTTGAGCTTTCTGGGGGGTCTTATGTCATGCTGGTCATTGGCAGAGTACAATGGAAGCCTTTGGAACAGCAAGATTGGCTACTTTTAGCTCAGGGCACCCACATTCGTTCCCTTTTCCTTGGCTTCATCCCCCTTACAGCAAAGGTGAGTTGTAACAGTCACACATTCTCCATGTGTCAGCTATAGCAGACTGCGCCGAGGCTGAGCTGCCAAGGTCTCTTAGGACGGCCGGAGCCATAGGGCCCACGGAGGCAGCCAGCAGCAAGCGTCCTTTTATTTTGTTTTCTTTTTAAATGACATTGTGTTCCTGGAGGTACCCCTTGGTGAGATGTCAAACGCGGGATGAGACAGGTGCCAGGCAAGGATCTGGAGGCACAGTGCTGAGGGCACTGGATGGGTAGTCCTGGCTTTGCCATTCCTGGCTGCTGTGGGACTTGCCACATGATGTCCCCTACCAGGGCCTCTGTGTCCACTCTTATAAAATGGGTTGGTTGGGCCTGGCGACCCTAAAGGTCCTTTTAGCTCTAAGAATCTATGAGGCAAGACACTCCTGAGTTGGCAGGGTCAAGGAAGAGCAAAGGAGTGTTCCCTCCTGGTGGCAGGTGGAAAGGGATCACCTGCTCTGAGCCTCAGGGATTAGTTCTCTCCTCACAGAGACTGCCCGAGGTGGCCTGCGCATACCTGGCCTTCTGGCACATTCTATCTGGAATGCACTGGAGCAGAAGTTAATTTTGTTTCTTATTTGAATACCGCTGGACTCAGTCAGCACTCCCCAGCTCTCCTGCCCTTTCTCACTCTCCACTCCCCCACCAGCATTTCCTCCCAAATAAAGGGCTCATATGTCACCAAAGAGGGGCATAGCCCCCCCCCAGATGGGATACCCCCGAGAGGGACACAACTTCATGGATGCAGGGTCTGGCCAGGAATGCACAACCTCAAGCTAAGCATGAAGAGACATGGGATGGACACAAATCATTTTGTGTTCTATTAAAAGCATTCTATTAAAAGCGGGGGAGGTGTTCTATTCATTCCAAATTTCAATGTCATCTCTGTCAAAGGTGGGAAAAGGCCCAGGTTACAGGAGGCTAAGGAAATGGGACATGCAAATGCAACATCCGCCCCTGCATTGGACCCTGTCCTGGAGGAGAAAAGACTAGAAAGGGTATTAATAGGTCAGCTGACAAAATTGAAACAGACAGTAGATTTGATTAAAATATTGCATCCAAGTTAAATGTACTAACGTTGATAACTGCACTGTGGTTTTATAAGACAATATTCTCACTCATAGGATCTACATATAGAAGTATTTCGGGTTTGCCTGGGCTCTCCATCTTACAATGGAGTTGGTTTACCTTAGGGCTTCCTATCCATTTATTTTGAGGGGGAGTCATGGATTCCTTGAGGGTCTGATAAAATCACTGGACACTTTGCACTTTGAAATGCAAAGTGTACACATTCTTTGTTGCATGTTGTCTCCAGAGGTCACAGACTCTCATGGAAACTCTCGGCTAAGAATCCTTGGACTGATGGTCTTCTGATAGGCCTCCCAGTGACCACATTCTAAAGCTCTGAAAGCAAAGAGCATGATTTAGTCAACTTACTCTCACGTGGTCCAGAGAAACATACTATGTATATGAGAGAGAGAGAGAGAGAGAGAGAGAGAGAGAGAGAGAGAGAGAGAGCGCAAATGATAAAGCAAATGGGACATGTTTAAAAAAGAGGTATATTCAAGTGTTCTATGTGCTGTTTTTGTTCTTGCAACTTTCTCTTGTGAGCTTAATGTGTTTTCCAAATAAGATGTTAAATAATGTCATTCAGGGGCCGGCCGAGTGGCTCAGTTGGTTAAGAGCTCGCTCAAGAGTTTGAGCTCTGAGCAACAGTGGTTCGAGTCCAGCCCGAGCTGAGCAGCCGCTGAGCTGCCAACAGGTAGCAGGATGGCTCAGCTAAAAACAAACAAACAAACAAACAAACAAATAATGTCATTCAATCAGTGATGCCCATTATTAGTATTTCAACATGAGGAAGAGGAGGCAAGGAGTTGAATGCCGCTGAAGAGGTGCAGGCAGCTGGGCATGAACAGATATGTAGCCAGGCACTGGCGGGTGCGGAGGCAGGGTGGGGCGGGGAGGAACGTGGCAGGCAGCGGGCGGACAGGGTTCTCAATGATCGCCTATTCAAACTTGACCTCCTTGCTGATTTTTGCTAAGCGAACAATTCCGTGGATAGTCAGGGACCTTGGTCTGTTTGGCTTTCTCACCCCTCTCCTTGTTTCTTACATGCCCCTCTGTAGTATACATTGTTGCGATGAACTCTACTTCCAGAATCACAGACTGTCCACACTGGGAAGGACTTTAACCACCATCTCATCTACCCTCTTCTTGGAATCAATGAGAAAAGGAAGATACAGTGAAATCAATTTCTAGGTCCACTGTTATATAACGCAGGATAGGTGAGAGTTGGTGCCCGAGACATCCCAAGCCAGCCCTACTTCCTCTGCTCAGGAAAGCATTGTAGTGTTGTTATAATCTTGTCTTGAATTATTTTCTTTGAGGGTTTGGGCACTGTTTTAGGTGAGCCTAAGAGCAGCAGCATGATAGACTAGAAAGAGTATTCTGCTGGGAACCAGGATACTTGGATCTAACTAAATGAACTGGCTTTGTGGCCTTGGACAGGTGGCTTTCCCTCTCTGAGCCTTGGTCTCTCCATCTTAAAATGTGGGCACTGGTTGACTTAAGAACTTTTTATCCTTTTTGCAGGGTTGTGGATTCCTTTGAGGATCTGGTAAAATTGTTGGACCCCTTTTCAAAGCAGATGCGTGATCTCCACAGGTTCACAGACCCACCTCATGGAAACTCCCTGCTTAGATTGTCTTGTGATGGGCCTTCCAGTTACCAATTTCTCAAGTCTTAAAAGCCACCAAAATGGAGTCAGTGGGTGGAGCCTCACTTACATTGTGTTAAAGAATTAACCCATCCATCTCCAAGTCACTTTTTGGGCTCAACTCTGTCTGGCTAGGAGATGTTGAACCAACATTTTAAATCTACCTCTGGTAGATGTATCTACAATACAACATGAAAATGGCTTGAGGTAAAGGCCATTTGCTCTTTGGCTTTAGCTGGAAAATTACTCTCTTTGGTTACAGTCACACCCATTGGCCTCAGATAAAACAAGCCCTTCTGGGAATCACAAGAGTCCTTCCAGCCAATGGGGATGAAGAGACTGTCTAGCAAGTTGCTTGTCATTGCTACATCAGCCAATCAGCATGAAGGAAAGCGGGACTCTGCAAAGCTAGACTAGTCCCCCAGGACATTACTGGGGAGAAAAAAATAGAGCATTTAATTAAGCCCTACATGTGAGCAATTGATTCCAGTTTTCCACTTCTAATTTAGTAAAGAATTTCTGCTGATGTGTACTAAGACACTTAGAACCTTGTAATGTTGGTGTTGGGCTCACCTATTTTTCTTTCAGTCCCTGCATGCTTTTGTTCAGATGCTTGGTATGTGAAACAGAGGAAAATGGAGATGCCTGGGTGGACGCCAGTCCTAGCGATGGGCAGAGCTGGAGTGAGAATATTGCACTTGGCACGCACACAGGAAAGGTCTCCAATGAGAGGAGGGAGGGCCAGTGAGGGGTCTGATGTGGGTTCCAGGCCTTCTGCTGGTTGTTGAATACTCTTCCCTGGTCTGCGATGAGCTTGCCATCTCAGTTCAAAGGGCCATGGATATGCACTGATTGGAAGTGGGGAAGGTGTCTAGAAATTTGCACATCCTTTTAAAAATCATTACTTGCAAATGTTGCACCCTGGGGTACAGAATATTCCACCCACACAAAAGCCCTGAGGCTCTTCGCCAAACTCCAGCAGCCAGAAAACCACAGATCTAGCCCTACCCCCGAAGCTGACAGAGAGGGAAAGAGCCAAAGTCACATGTGGATTTTATAGAGGTGGGGCCTTTCCTTGTGTGAGTGGCCACTATGCCACTAGTCAAAGAGCTTACTCGGTAAAATGTCAGTGTGTGACAGACTGGGGGAATGCCCTGCCTACTCTTGAGATCTAGATGAATGGGGACATGTGCCTTCCTCAGCTGGAAGGGCACCCCAGAGCAGTCAAAGGGAACAAAGGCTCCCCACGAGGCCAAGGCTAGATTGAAGCCAGGTTTTGGTGTGGGTGCTCCCCTGAGCCAGAGCCCCCAGCCGTGCTGACCCTGGCATTGAGGTCAGAGGGAAGTGTGTGCTTGGCACATAGTAGGCCTGTGCTAAATACTAGCAGAAAAAAATGAATAGCAAGTAAGTTGTCCCCAGTGATGAAGTGCTAATGCGATTACACATAAACTACATCCGATCTGAAGGTGACTGCCTCACCTTCGCTCATTAATAATATCCCAGTGCACTCTCTCTGGGGGATTTGGAACCAGGGGTGAGTAACTGCATGGCCATGTCACTTAGGGGAGATGCCATCGAGACTTCTGCCAGGTGTGCTTTGCTGGGGGACAACAGACGAGATGCCAGGACTTGGCATCAACTTAATAACCCACAGGAGGTCGGCCCTCATATCTCGCCTGAATTGCTCAATCATTCTCTGTTCCAAACTGGTCTTCCTGCATCCCATCTGCTCATCACCTTCATCACCTATCCCCGCAGTCCCTTCACATCATTTCTTCCTCCAACATCTCCTCTCCATCTACAAAAACATCCAAATCCTCTGCCCAGCACCCACAACCCACCACCTTCTCACCCCAACCCACCTCTCCAGCTTTGCCTGCCAAACACCCCTGCACACTACTCAACCCTTCCTGGGTCTCTGTGATGCCCTTTGTGAGCCAAGTGCTCAGGATTCGTTGCTCTTTCCTCTCTGGTCTCAGCATACACTGCTTTTTATCTCGATTTGGTCCTACATCTGCCTCCTACACTGGATGTACAGGGTCAAATCTGTTAATGAGTAGATACATAAATAAATACATTTTAATATAAGCTGAGGATGTCTATTCTCTGGCATCAAGGGTCTGGTCCAAGGGGCAGGTGAGGGGCAGATCTTAAGGCTGCCCTCGTTGCTGCGTTGAATCTACGCTGCATCCATGGTGGCTGAGCTGAGAGGGTGGAAAACTGAGGTTCTTGCAATCCTGGAGGAACCAGCAGTAGGAACAGGGTTCCCTCAAGGGACAATGCAGAGCCCTGCAAGAGTCAGCCTCTGTCAAGGCCAAGGACTGGATAATTGGAGAAAGCCCTACCTGGAGTCCAGTCGGCCAAGGAGGGCCTGCTGTTCTTGCAAGCAGCACTCCTGCCCAGGTCCCAGGCAAGTCAGGAGGGATGGCCGGCTTGCAGCCATTGTGTGATTTAATGCAAAGAGACCAGTTCTGCCTTCTTGGCTAAGAGCTTCCAGAGCTGGGCGGGAAGTGGGGAGGCGGCTGCATTAGGAAAACCACTGGAGGCGGTGAAGAAAAGGAGAACATATTGATCCCTGCTGGAACCCTGATAAGGCTGGGTGAGGAGATCTGATCAGATGGGTCTGCAGTGACTGTACTTTCCAGTTTCTGGTGGTGGGGTGGGACAGGAAAGAGGGTCTTAGCAGAAGAATGGAATTCTGTAGGCTGGGTTCCATGGGAGCCCAGCCTGAAATGTTGAAGACTGTTGGGAAGGAAATGAGAATAAAGGGAGATTGTCGTGGCCAGGAGGGTCAAGAGTCACGAGGGCCTACATCTCTGGCCTTGAGCCCCTCCTAGCTTTGGGAGCACTCCCTGAGGAACATACCATCATATAGTCTGTGCCTGGTGTTCTCCAGCCCATATCAGCCAAGGGTGATGGGTTGAAGTCCCAGCGTACTCATGAGAGGTTTCGAGTTAAATGTATTTGATGGGTGAGGCGGGTCCCTCCAGGATTAGGTCATCCACATCGTTCAGGAGTTCACGTTCACTGGCGGTGGTGGACTTTTGCAGGCGGCGGAGGCGAGCCTGGAGCTGCTCCTGCTCCTTCTTGAGCTCCAGGTAGGAGTGTGAGAAGGTGTGGAAGATAGACGTGGCAGGGAAGGCCATGATGAGGATCCCACTCAGGATGCTGCTGAGGGCCACCATCTGGCCCGGGACGCTGCGCGGGACCATGTCTCCATAGCCCACCGTCGTCATGGAGATGATAGCCCACCAGTAGGAGGCCGGGATGCTAGTAAACTCCAGGACCCGCCCGGACTCATTCTCGGCCACGTAGACCAGAGGAGAGAAGAGGGTGATGGCCACGCAGAGGAAGAGGAGGAGCAGGCCGAACTCGCGCGTGCAGCGGCGCACGGTGAGGCCCAGCGTCTGCAGGCCCAGCGAGTGGCGGGCCAGGCGCATTACGTAGAGGATGCGCAGTGCCCGCAGCACTCGCAGCACCAGCCCCACCTTCTCCAGGTAGGAGCTGCCGCCGCCAGGCTTCTCGCCATCTTCTTGGGGCTCCTCAGGCACCGCCAGGGACACGTAATAGGGGGAGATGGCCAGGATGTCTATGAGGTTCAGGGGCCCCTGGAAGAACTGGCACTTGTTTCGGGCCTGGACAAACCGCAGGCAGAACTCCAGGGAAAACCAGGCGACGCACACTGTCTCCACGATGAAAATATAGTAGCACTTCTGAGAGCACTCACCCTAGAGAGGCAACAAAACGCAGGGTAGAGAGTGGACGGGCAACAGCGCTGGAAATGGGAGGCAATAACCAGGCGGAACAGCGTTTCCATATGTCTATTATATATTGACATTGATATAGGTATATATCAGCATAGATATTGATTCCATGTATATAGATTCCATATATAAATTCTATATGTTAAGTAGATTCTATATAGATTCCATATACGCTGTATATCCTTTCTACATATTATCTATATCAATTGAGCTGTACCGTAGACTCTTAGCTGTCCATCAAAACCCCCTTTTTACATAGCTATCCAATTGTGGGCATGCAGCTGGTCAGCTAGATCAGAAACCACCTTTCCAGCCTCCCTTGCAGCTAGGTGTGGCCAAATAATTAAGTCCCCACCTGCAGAATGGAAATAGAAGTGATGTATGCCACCTCCAGTTCTAGGACTTTAGCTGTTGGTATGAATTCCTGCACATCCTCTCTCCCTGTGAGCTGGCACAACCGTGTGGCCCTGCAACCCAGCTCAGAGCCAGCAGATTGGACCAACGTCCCAGCAGAGGATGGTGCATCAAGGTTGAAAGAAATCTGGGTCTTTTGAATGAGAGCTGCCCACTCTCCTTGATCACACTCTGCGAAAGAAATCAACTTGTGTTTTGTTTAACGTCGTTCTATCCTGGAGCCTTTTTGTTATAGCAGCCAACCTTCACCTTTTCCAATACAAGCTCCTCTTGTATACCAGGCACCGCTCTAGTGTCGACACTTAAGCCCCACGGTGATGCTGTGATCAGGCAGCATGACCTCTTTATGGCCCAGGACATGGTTTCGAGCAGTGAAATGACTTGCTTGAGCTCACATCCATAGTAGATGGTCTCTCAGCCACTGCACTCTATTTTATAACGTCTTTGCCTGCCATCCCGCATTTACTTATTCATCCAACAAAAATATACAGAGGGTTCACCTTGTGCCAGGCCCTGAGTTAGGCTCTGGGGGTAAAGTACTAGAGAATCAGATGTCATTTCTGGGGGCTTGGAGGCTGGTGATGCAGAGAGGGCTCCCGCATCCCTAAGAAGCACCCTGTTACTGCAATTATTCACACAGGGTCTGTTTCCCTGGGAGAGTCCAGCTGGGTGGGAGCTGTTGTGGATTAATTGTTGTGTCATTCACACCCCCTGCCTCTGGCTTCTAACAGTGAGTCCCACCAGCCCCTCTGCTACTCCAAGTGTGGTCCTGGAACCAGAAACATCTGCCTCCCCTGGGAACTTGTCAGAAACACAGAATCTTGGGCCCCACCCCATCCCCAAGGAATCAGAATCTACATTTTAACAAGAACCCACCAAGTGATTTGTGTGCATATTAAAGTTTGAGAAGCACTGGTCCAGTGTGCTGGTTCCCAGCCTTGGCTGCACATCAGAATCACCTGAAGGGGCTTTGAAAAAATTCTGATGCCTGGGCTGGGACCTCACAGATTCTAATTTAATTGATCTAGGTTTGAGCCTGAGCAGTAAAATTTTCCAGAAGCCCCATAAGTGATTTTAATGTGGAGCCAGAGTTTAGAACCTTACTCTAAACATCATATATATTATATATAATATGGTATATAATATATATCTTATAATATATATATTTATTTTATTTTATTTGTGATGAATGAGTAAATGAATGACCCATGCCAGCTGCCTGAGTAAAAAGCAAGATGTTGACAACTGCAGTTTTCTTTGGATTAAAAGGCTCTGAAGTGGAAAAATAAATTATTTCCTGTGCCTGGGCCCACAGGAATACTAAATTGAAATGTCCTTTATGTCTGGCAGCTGGAGGAAGAGAAAGGGGCTGGTGGGTCCTGATCTCTATCTGCCTGCCGGGGGTGTGTGGGGGAGGGTAGTTTTCTCCCTTGACTTGTATCTGGTCTACCAAGGGGTGGGAAGCTATGGGCGTGCTGTTGAGGTTGTGGAGTTCCAGAGGGTGACCCAGGCTCAAATCCCACCTTTCCACTTATGCAGACATGTCATTTGGCCTCTCCGGACTTTCAGTTCTATGCCCCTGAAATTGTTGTGATGAATAAAAGTGATGCATGTAAAGCTGCAGGCTGCTGCACCTGCAGGCACACAATATATTGTAGCTATCTGTATGAGATGATTGACTGATCACAGACATAGCCTGCCTGGTCAATGTAAGGGTGACAATATCCTCCTCCTATCCCTAGATTCTACAGGAAACTGAGGACATTCTCCAACACTCTGGGAATTCGTTGCCACTACTGCTGGGGTTTGCTTCAGGATCCCGGAGGTCTCAGGAGTTTGGGATCCTGATTCCCCAATTCTGCCAGAAATTTGCTGTGTGGCCAAGCAACAGTTGCTGCCCTTCTCTGTGCTTCAGTTTCCAATGAAGAGGTTGGAGCAAAATCAGTGCTTCTCGAGGCTGATTCAGAACCTCCTGCTTCAGAGTCCCCCCAGGGTGCTCGTTATGAATGCAGAATCTTGGCCCCACCCCATCACAAAATCAAAACCCTGGGGTGGAGCCCAGGGACCTGCATTTTGGCAAACCCCTTTGTTGACTCCCAGGTACTGGAAGTTTTTCAGACTCTGGGCCAGATTCTTCCCACAAGGCCTCTTTCATCTCTGACATTCTGGGAGTTTTTCTCCTGGCTTAAGAGCCTCTTAGAGCTGGGAATAACTGTTCTAGGCCAGGGACTCAATACCTCAGGAAGGTGGCTCCTGAGAGGTGGAGAAGGCTCTGTGAGTCCTTCCTCTGCCTCTGGTGTTGGCCTTTGGATATTCAAGGCATGCACTGCCCAACTCCTTCCTGCGGCCTGGCCCCGGCTGTGCTGGCCACCTCCCTGCACTGCAGCAAGCACTCTGCCTGCCGCGTCACCCCCTGCACTGCTGCTCCACTTTGCACCCTTACACCAATCTCCCAGCACTGACCCTCAGAGAAACGCCCCATTAGCAGCTGGTGCTGGGGTGGTGATGATTTATGGGACTCGAGTTAAGGAAATCATTTCTAGGCCAGACATTACTTGAAGAAAAATAGAAAGGGGAAAAGAACGTTACTTTTTCTCTCTCCGAGAAAGTTTCTGATCGTTTTTTTGTAGGTAGGGTGAACGACTTATCCTGGTTTGCCCAGAGCTTTCTGGATTTGCTCACAGAAAGTCCCAGGTCACCAGAACCCCCTCAGGCCTGGGCAAAACAAGATGGCTGGTTGCCCTCTTGTCACTGGGGAATGCGGTGGGCTCTGGTTGTCTCAAGCAGTTGAAGAAGAACGTGAGAAGGCTGGAGGTGAGAGCCATGCAACCACATGGACGAATCTCACAGATAGGATGTGGGGCAAGACCAGGCAGACGTATATCTCCAGTATGTGACGTTCAAGAACAGGCAAAGCTTGTCTGGGGCAGGCAACATCTTCAAATAAGTAGCTGCCTCTGGGTGGGTAGGGATTAACTGTGAAGGAACATGAATTTTTCTGGGGTGAGGGAGATAACCAGTTGTTAAATTATATAGCTAAGAGTTGTGCATTTCAGTGTATATCATTTTTACCTGTAAAACTGGAAAAATAAAAATAAAAATGATAATAAGCACCCGGGGGTAGGGAGGGGGTGGAGAGAGAGAGAACCAGCATGGAGGAAGAGGACAGTTGTGGAAGCTGAGTCTTGGGGACTTGGGGTTCATTATATTATTCTGTTTATTTTGTAAACACCTGAAATTTTCCATCATGAAAAGCTGAAAAAAAAAACAACAACCCCAAACAGGTTCAGAAATCAAAACCACAGTGAGATACTACATCACACCCACTAGGATGGCTATGATTCTAAAAACAAAAAATAACAAGTGTTGGCAATGATGTGAAGCAATTGAAACCCCCAAACATGTTGGTGGTCCCTCAAAAAGTTAAGTGTACATTTGCTATCTGACCCAGCAATTCCACTCTTAGATAGATAGATAGATATAAATATATATATATATATATATGTATATATCTGAAGGAATTGAAAATAGGCATCCACACCAAAGCTCGTATATGAATGTTCATAGCCTTATTCATAGTAGCCAAAAAGTGGTAACAACCTAAATGCCAATCAACTGATGAATGAATAAACAAAATGTGCTCTATCCACACAGTGGAATATTATTCGGTCATCAAAAGGATGAAGTACTGATTCATGCTTCAACATGGATGAGCCTTGAAAACCTTATGCTCAGTGAAAGAAGCCAGACACAAAAGGCCAGCTATTATGTGGTTCCATTTATGTGAAATGTCCAGAAAAGGCAAATCCACGGAGACAGAAAGAACATTTGTGGTTGTCTGGGGCTGGGGCCGGGGGTGGG